TTTGAAAAAGTGGCATTTTTATAAAGATATCAAAAGTGTGGCTTTTTGTAAAGTGGCACTTGAAAAGTGGCATTTTTTGAAATTTTCATGCAACAACATGAATGCAAGTGAATCAAATCAAGTAGAAAACCACATCTAATAATCAAAAATTTTCCAATTGGAAATTTTTTAATAATTTAAATGGTACTAGACAAAAATTTTATTTCAAAAAAAGCAAAAATCAAACATCGGATAATTTTTTTACCATTATATTTTTTCATTCTTATATGACAACGTCCCTAATTTAAAAATTATCAAGTCTATATATATAAATTAATTGATAAAACAAACTCACGTGCAGAGTCGATACAAAACCTAGTTGGTTAATTAATAGTTGAAGTTGAGCAAAAAAAAAAAAAAAGGGAGGGCCTATATTTCGTTTGACCCCACTTTAGATTCGAATGATTCTGAATCATGATGGATTTTATATTGTAAAATTGTCTTTAGTACAAATTCTCTGTTTTCCTGACTAAAAAAACAATGAAAAACAATCATGATTTAATGAATATCTATCTAGTTTTGTGTCACGTAATTATTTGTCATATTACTGTCATCATGTCGTCATAGTTAGGTTATATTACTTGCAATTATGCAAATCACAAGATAAGCAAAATGCATAAACACGGTTCTTATTAAAATACACAATGGTGGGGGTCGATAATATGGTGTATTGTGATCTCATTATTCGAGCCAGTAATCTCGTATATATAGAACATTACATCAACCAAAAGGTTATTAATCTTTCGTGTCCTTGGATAAACATTACATAAACTAAAAGGTTATTAGAAAAACTTAAAAAAAAAAAAAACTAAAAGTTATTAATCTTTCGTGATTTTGGATAATCATTCTTAGGGCTAAGAAACATATTGGTGTGATTAAAAACCTTGTTAAAATTCGAACGTTTGAGAAATTTGTTGAATTTCACAGATTATAGCAAGACCAACTACTTTACAAAATTTTGGGGAATGATGCGGTGAAATTATCATGTCCAGGGGCTTTTGATACGCCATTGGAAATGTGAGCTTGTCAAATTTCCTCTCAAGTAATGTCTCAAGTTAACATTGAGTTTATTTCATCAGTAGCCGAATCTATATTACGCACTATGTTTGTTGTACCACAAGAGTTTGAACTAGTAAACATACCTTAAAAATAATGTTCTACCTCTGATGTGATCTCACAGTTGACAGTTGTTTGTGTATTTGCTTTCCATTGATCCCTTGAAACAAGACTATTATGTTCCGTGCAGTCTTGCTTTTAGTTGTTGCATACTTAAATCATGTATTGCGATCTCTTTCTTTGAGCTAGTGATTTTGGTTTTTGTGTAAAAAATTCCAGGAATGTATTTAGATCAATATGAGCTTCATCAATACTCATTCTCAATTTCATAAACTATGAATTTTATAAAATACATACATAAATACTTTTTATATATTTTTACCAAATTGTAATAAAAAAATATAATCACCATTTTTAAAGAAAATGTAAAGTAGAAAAAGAAAAAAAAAGTATCGTTGAAAAATAGAAAACAAAAAAAAAGAATTCCGAAAAAGATAAGGTCGGCCAGAACCCTCTGTTTCAGCAAGAGGCTTCAACGCTTAACTTTAAAGAGGGCTTTAGGGTTTTTTTTTGGCTTCGATCAGAAAAAAATCTCCGCAACCGAATCGGACCTTTCTAGAAGATACACAGCGAGAAGAGAAGAGAAACTCCGAGATCGGAATCAATGGAGTCTATGATTTCGTTGAAGCCTAAAGGCAAAGGCAAAGGACCAAAAGGAGCTTCTTCTTCAGATGAGAGATCGAAGTTGCAGCTCGTTAAGGAATGGAGCAATTGGTCACTGAAGAAAGCCAAAGTCGCGGCTCACTACGGATTCATCCCTCTGGTCATCATCATCGGCATGAATTCCGATCCAAAACCTCATCTCTTTCAGCTCCTTAGCCCAGTCTGATCTTCCGATTTTCATCATCGAAGCCAGATCAATCGATTGATTTCTCAGATCTTCTCTCCGGTTTGGTCTTCACATCCCTATGCGTAGTAGTCTTGGATTCGTCGAATCTTCTTTATGTTTTTCAGTAGCTAGTTTCTCTATGGGTCTTTTACTTTCTGTATGGAATCAGTTTGGTTTATGATGTGAAATCGAATCTATGGTCTATGGATATTTATTATTAAAAGTTTGGTTTTTGAACAATGTTCATATACTAAATCGGGAAAATGCTTTTGTGGCTTTTTGATTTCGAGAATTGAAGTTGTTATTGTGGAATGCTTTGTATCATATTTACAATATCTGTTATATGAGGTCGATCTTGAGGCTTTAAGGCAACACAAGCCAAACCTATTTGCAACATTTCAACCATCTCTTCCTCTATACCCGTTTGTTTCAATAGCTCGATGTCGAATACTTCTCCCGTCCACTCTTTTGACACTACTGACCTTATCCAGCTCGCCAAGTCCATGTTTTCGTCTTCTGATAGCGGTCTTGCCGGTGATTTCCCTGTTATAAGCTCAAGCAGCACCACGCCGATGCTGTATACGTCAGAAAACTGTGTGCACTTTCTTGTGTTTGTTATTTCGGGAGCGTGGTAACCCGAAGAACAAATGGTAGTCTGAGGTAGAGATCTCATGATGGGTGTTAAGCCGAGATCACAGATGCAGCTGTTGCATTGCGAGTCAATGAAGATGTTGGAGGATTTGATGTTCCCATGGACAAACTTTCCGTTATCTGCTTCATGGATTATAGCTAACCCTCTTGCTGTACCTATGGCAATTCTCAACCGGGACTCCCAATCCAGAGGTACTCGGTTCTCTTCTTTATTTCCTGCAAAAGTTGAGCTCTCGGTTTTCGATTCAGACCCCAAAGGAATATATAGACCAAGGGAATACCGGAAATAACTCACCGTGCAGCATTTCGAAGAGGGTTCCTTGACTGTAATAGCTATAAACAGCGAGCTTATCGTTCTTGGAATAGTAGTAAGCTTTAAGCTCAGCTACATTATCATGCCTAATTCTACCAACGATATCCATTGTCTGCTCAAACTCTCTTCTTCCGACAATCACCTCCTCCAGTCTCTTCACTACTACTGTGGTCGTGTCCTCAACAGCTACTTTGTAGGTTGTAACAAAAGCACTTTTCCCCAAAACTTCTGCAGATGCAGCTAACAAATCATCCAAATCAAAGGTATAGTTAGTTCCTCCAAAGAAGACGATTTTGCCTTCATCATCGTCATCTTCTGGTGCCCAATAACCAGAAGGAGATGATGTGTCTTTCTTCTTCGACTTCCATGAGAGCCTAGCTTTCACGCACCGTTTCTTTCTCAAGCAACAAGCCATCATCCCGCAAGTTGCAGCTATAACAAGAAGAAAGCAATCAATTCCACAGGTAGTTTACGCGAATTCAGATGTTCTCCAAGGCTCTAATCTTGGTCAAACTGCTATCATTGAATCCATTGTTAGACAGATGAAGAGTTTAATGATCCTTCCAACCAGATAAATCCGCAGGCAATGGACCCGAGAGCCGATTATCCTCGAGATAGAGATGTGACAACAAACAATCTTCAGACAGAGTAAATCAAAAGTGAAAAGCTCTGTTTCCGTTGCAGACCGGTATGATCTGGTCTCTCTGTCCGGCGACAAACTGATGAGCTGACTTTCCAATAGAGAAGGAGAAGAACTCAAATCTTGTGAAGAAATCAAGTAAAGGGTCTTGAAAGAGCTCGATGTTTCCAATCACTGAGAGAATTAGAAGGAAGAAGAAAGTCCAAAAAGAAACCATCATTGTAGAAACAACAAGTCTCGTCTCTATCTAAACAGAAATTTGTTTTGTCTCTATCTGTCAGAGAGAATCTTTTGTAACAGAAGAAATTCATATTTTAGTGAAGAAGAATAATTTAAAAAATGCGAATAAAATTGATTCGCCGGTCGGTAAGCCGGCAAAGATCTTGGTTAATAGTATTATCTGAAGTGGACAACACAAGCATGGAAGCCGCATTAGATTTCCTCCCCAAATTATAAGAAAAACAGTGTACTATTATTCATAGTTTCATACCCATTTTCAATTTTTGATTAATTTATAAATATAATGCATAATTTAGTAATCAAAAATAGCAGAGTGGCGCAGCGGAAGCGTGGTGGGCCCATAACCCACAGGTCCGAGGATCGAAACCTGGCTCTGCTATTTCGGTTGTA